GCATCTGCCGCGGGAACTGCGCTCGCACTGCTCAGCGCGCGGAGCCTCCGTCAGTGCGACGCACTGGTGATGGGCGCATCGGGGACGTGGTGGGTGGGTGGAGAGCCGGGACAGCACCACAGCCCCACTTGGGGACCAATCTGTCCTGCCGCTGCCCCCGGTCCCAAACTCCCACCTAAGCCACCCCTCGGCCACAGGGACTCCCAGGCAGCCCCGACTGGGAAGGATGGACAGCCTCCCCAGGCTGGGATGCAGTAAAGCATTTAAACCCCCACGGCACAGCGAGCTGTGGGTCTGCGATACCCACCACGGGTGAAGAGACACAACCTCACAGCAGCCCAAGCCCCGTCCTCCATCGCATCCGCACCCTGGAGAGGTGACCGAGCCAAGGCAGCTCCTGCCCACGCTCGGGGAGATGCTGACACCCTACGGCCACGCGTCCCCGAGAGCCAGACGGACTCGGACAGTGTGACACGGGTGGTTTCACCAGCAACTGGGGGAACAATCCACACCAGTAGGAGATATTCCACCCAAGTGGAACATCTCCCACCCAAGCACGCTGTGCAAACGCCATCCCGCATGGCTGCATCCCTCTGAAGTCAGGGCAGCACAACAACCCCCCCACGTCGGAACAGGGCTGTGGAGAGGACACGGGGCCACCCGGCACTGCCGGATCAAACGCCGTCCCTAAAGCACACGGCAGCGGTTGGCATTCCCGCCGTTTACCTTGCCAAGGGCCGGTGCGCAGCGTTAATGCCGAGAAGGAAAGCGAGGTGCCAGACTTTACTACAGGTCTATAAACAAGGTGGCTTTAAAAGCACTTTTCAGATCCAGAGGAAAACATCCCTAAAACCAGAGGGGGGGTGGGGGCGGGGAGCCCCAGGGGAGCTGCAGCCCCAACAGATCCCTTCTCAACACCGGCACCTGTGTTTCACTGGAGCCCGAGCGCGGCTCGGTCGCCACGTTACAGCTCTCTGGCAGAGCTCCGAGTCCCCGAGGGCACCAACTCCTCACGACAACCCATGGCCACGCTCGGCTGCAAGCAAACACCCTCATTGCGGGAGGTCTTAACCCCCCCGCTCCAAATCACAGCCCCTCGCACCCCCCCCCAGCTCTGCCCGCAGGGACGGCGCCGATGGAGGGGTGCGAACTGAACGCTCCTCTCAAACCCTCCCAGAGCCACAGCGCCGGCGCTGGACCCATCGCACCTACCCTCGGGCTGAGAAATCACTACTCTTGGACAAGAAACAGAATCTCAGAGGATTCTCGCCAGGATGACGCGGTGATGGAGGAAAAGTGGCTGCTCTCCCTTGAACGTTCCTTCTTGGCACCACCAGAGAAGACTTCACCCTCTCCCAGTGGGATCAGGGCGGCAACTACTGTCAGAGCCATGAAAACCAGCACAGCGCAGGCGGTGGACTGGGAACCCTCTGCGCTCCTGTCCTTACTCGGGCAAGAGATAAGAGACCCGACGCAGCTCATCCACCAGCTGATGCCCAGCGTAGCCTGGCCAGCACCTGCTTTGACATAAGGTGCCCTCCTCCACCTCACGAGGACAAAGGCAGCCGATCCCCTTGGCCAGAGCACGTCTCAGTTGGCCCAAGGACCTTGGTGCTTCCAGTGACCAGTTCTGAGCTCCGAAAATCCAAGAAAAAGCAAACGGAGCTTTTCTGGAGGAGCCTTTGATGGCATCAACCAGGAGGACATCTTGCACTCAGTCCTCTGGAGCACGCTACCTGCTGCAACAAGACATTGCCCTTCCTCTTCCTGGGATCCACAGCATCTCCTGGCCTCAGACCCGGCGTTATGGCGCTCCCAGTCCCCTTTGCTACAGGCAAATGGCACAGGACGTGCCAGGACCGAAGCCGGATGTGGAGGAGAACACATCGCACCTCCATCGCATCTCATCTCCCCTCTTGCCGAGCTCTTCTTCCCACCTCTCTGCAAACGGTAATTAATTCATCCTTGCAACCGCGCCGCGGGAGGCGAGCACATCACACCTTTGTTTCTTCTCCAGACACCAGGAAAAGCGAGGCAAGGAAGGCTGGGCTCCTCGCCTCGGGCCGGAGAGGAGGAAGCCAGTGCCAGAGCCAAGACGCGCAGGCAGATCCTTCGGCGATCCCATCAACCGGTGCCACCAACTTCAGGAGTCTCTGGCTCTGCTGCGCGCCAGAGAGGTGGGAGGATGCAGCCGGGACAGCCTCGAAGGACGTGGCACCATGTGGCAGAGGACAGCAGAGAGCAGCAGCTCAGGGCTCGGAAATACAAGAGGATTCATCGCAGCCCACGGCAAGTTTACAGTTGCTCGAGGCCGGCCCCGAAACCGTGGCCTGCAGTCTCCCTGAGCATCCTCCAAGCACCGAAACGCCCGCCGCGCTCCGGCAGGGAGGAGAGCTGCCGTG